AGAGATTCTCATCTGCCTGCATATAAGGATTTCAGTAAAAATTTACCATTCCCTACGTATTTTCCTGATGGAGATGAAGAAGAACTACCAGAAGATTTGTATGATGAAAACGTGTTTCAGCCCACTGCACCTTCTATTACATTTGCCTAACTCATTGGACATGGCAGAATCTTACATATTCTGTGAAATTTAATGAGCTAAAGCAGTAATATTATATACTTCTTTTTTAGTCACAACAATACTATACCTGTCTTTTTTTTTCAAGGGGCTTAATTTTTTCCTTTCCCCCACTTGATTTTTTTTAGAAAAATTCCCACATTAAATAAACCAGTTAAGTAGCTTGCATTTGCCAATTGACAGTTTGTATATTAGAAAAATATTTGTAATTTGTGGACTTCATTTTTTAAACTACATATTTCCTGAACTATCTTACAGTGTTTATAAATTTAACTTTCATTAAAGATTCTTCATTGTTTGTAAAGGGGTGATTGTGAAACAGAAAGCCATATGGGGACTATGATGTGACCTATTTGGATAAATAAACATTATCCTAAAATTTTTTTAAAAAGGAAATGTATAGTGGCTTCAGTGTGTATTTTCCTGATGATTACAGATACAGAGCATATTTCATATGTATTTGGATCCTTTTGATATCTTTGGAGAAATTCCTGTGCCCATTTCTAAATGGGCCCTTATTTTCTCCTATTTAATCTTTAGAGTTATTTATAAAATTCGAACATAAACTTCTTCTTAGTTACGTGTTTGCAAATATATTTTCCCAGTTGTTAGGCTGAATTTCAGTTTGTTGATTATTCTCTTTGATCTTTGTTTTTCTTATTGGTTCTTTTTGGTTATACATAACATTAAGAATCATTTTGACATAATTATAAAAGCATGGTACTTTGGTTCAGTCCCCATTACATCCCATTTCCCTTCCGCTCCCTCCTCTGTTCCCTTCCCTCTATTATATTGACCTTTCTGCTATTTATTTAGGAGTTTTTAAAATTAGTGTCTTAAGGGTATAAAAGATGGTAAAATGCACTGTGGTATATTCACACATCCATATAGGAAAGTTAGGTCAGATTCATTTCACTGTCTTTCCCTATTACACTCTTCCTCCCTTCCCTACATTCTTCTCCATCTACTCCACTGATCTTTCCTCTATTTTTTATTCTCTGCTCTTTATTTGTATTATCTTCCACATATCAGCGAAAACATTGGACTTTTGGTTTATTTCACTTGGCATGATAATCTCCAGTTCCATCCATTTACCAGCAAATCCTATAATATTCTTTCTTATGGCTGAGTAATACATTCTTATGTTTGTATACCACATTCTCTTTATTATCTATTCATCTGTTGAAGAGCACCTAGGTTGGCTATTTTGAACTGTGCTACTATAAACACTGATGTGGCTATGTCCCTGTAGTGTGCTGTTTTTAAATGTTTTGAATATATACCATGTAGCGAGATAGCCGGATCAGATCTTACAGTGGTTCCATTCCTGTTTTTTAAGGAATCCCCATACTGCTTTCCAGATTGGTTGCACCAATTTGTAGGCCTACCAACAATGTATCAGTATGCCTTGTTCCACATGCTCACCAACATTTACTGTTACTTGTATTCTTGATAATTGCCATTCTGACTGCAGTGAGATGAAATCTTAGATATTAATGCCCTGAGTAGCAGTTGGCAAAGATTGTCTCCCATTCTGTTGGCTATCCATACTCAGGTTTCCTTTGCTGTGAAGGCTTCTAATTTGATGCTATCTCACATATTGATTTGATTTTCCTTCT